ACTTCAGAAAGTTTGTGGAAAAATAGAATTAAAAGATAATGCTGTGTTAGCGTAGAGCTGTAGGATTGCAGGGAAGAGGGAAAACGAGAGAAATTCTCGGGGCTAGTGTCAGCAGCACTAATACTCGATGTGCTGTGGGGAATGGGGGAGAGGGGACCTGAGCATCCTGAGAGTGGAGTCTAAGCTCAGCCCGGCACATGACCTTTTTTCTAGGTGTCGTTTCCCGCTGGCACCTCTGCCTGCCTTCCGCCCCCTGCTCCACCCCTCCCAAATTCTAGTCATACCGGGTACTTTGGTGTTCTACTTCGTATGATGTTGTCCTCACCTTTTTTGCGACATTGGGCAGGTTACATAATTTCACTACCTGTCAGTTTTCAACATGAACATGGAAGAAAATAATAGTACCTCCCTCAGGATTGCTGTGGGGATTAAACTAGATTATTTATACGCCTGATATGTGGTAAGGGCTGAGTAAATATTAGCTACTACTACTATTCTTATTGTACTTATATTGTTTCGTTACTATGCATTTTGTTGTTTTTTCCTTTAGACTTGAAGTTTTTTTTTTTTTTTAATTAGAGGGGCGGTATCTTATTTATCTTTATTTTTGAATGGATCGTTGATTTTGTCTGTTGCCGACATAATTAAATTTTTTAACTTTAAGAGCTACCAGGTGCAATAAATTTTGTTGATAGAATGATATTTATTAGATAAAAAGATGGCTGTTTTTTGTACAGCCCAGAAGCCTGTGGATTAAGATGTACAGAAAGTAACTGACATTCTTAATTTAGTATAGAGATGAGTGATTTCAGTGAAGAATTGACGAGGCCTGTGACAGAGGATGAGCAAGTGGAAACATCTGTGCTTTCTGGTACAGGAATGCATATTCCTTGGCTTCAAAAGCGTATAGAAACTGTAGGTAAGTAAAATATTATAGAACCATTGTAACTTTTTTTTTTTTTCCTTTTTGTCTTTTTTCGTGTCCGGCAACGGACCGCAACCCTCAGTGTTGCACCCGTACCAGACCGGGACCGGCAACGGGATCGCAACCCTGGGCGTTGCGCCTGCCCCTCGCTCAGCCAGTGAGTGGGAACCGGTCTGTATGTGGGATCCAAACCCTCGGCGGGAGCGCCACCGCGCTCCCCCGCGGCGCCCCGCCGCCGGGGGCCCCCTGGGGGCGCGGGGGGGGGGCCGCCCAGGGG